CTTTGACTTTTATGTGACCGTCACATCCAACTTCTAAACCTTCAAATTATTTTCTGAGAATAATCTCTCACTTTTCCCCCTTTATGCCTAGCCCCTCATTCTCAATGATTGTCATCTTTCATTTCAGCCTCTCCTGCTTGTCCCCCAAGTCACCTCTCCCGTCTGTTATTCTGTGATTCAGCCCAGACTCTGTTGTCAGTCATTCCAGCAGCATTCTCACAGCGTTCTAGAGCCCGTGGTCTGTGCTTCTGAAGCGTGTAGCTCTCTAGTCACTGCCATTTCACCGCTTAAGAACTTTAGTGCCGCGCATTGCTGATGTCCTGCTCCCACCCTTGTTTCAGAAGAGTCCTTCTTCTCTGTGGGCTTGGGGCGCATTTGATCACATCGTCCTTCCGCCTCTTCTCTGGATCCTTCACTACTTTCTGACCTTCCTTAGTTATATGGGTGCTTATTGAGCATATGCTGAGTGATTCAGGGGTCATACAGGGATGTTTGGATGCATTTTGTTTGGTTTTGTTGTTTTCCTGGTAATTAGAATGTGTTATATCCAGATAAGGACAATAACTGGAAAAAGCCTCTTATAGAAAGTCTGACAGTCTAATGATTTTTATCCTGGGTTTTATGCACTTATATGGTCGTTTGGGTAGTGAAGGTCTTAATTTGGCTGGTGCAGTGTAGTCATTGTTACATTTCAGTGAAAGTATGCTATATTCTTGATAACCTAGTAGCTTCAGAGAGTATTCTAATGTTATTGACTACTCACTGAATCACATCTTATTGTCACTACTTTTCTGGCTTTTTGGTAACTTGAGAAAATGATTAACATTCACCCTAGTGCCTTTCATCTGATACTCTGGCAAATAAAGCTAAATTATGCACAGAGGAGGGCGCCAGTGTGTCACTGCCATCCACCCCTTCCCAGTGTGTTTTTGATAAACCAGGTGATGCCCGGTTTGACTTGCTCCCTTTTTTTTTTTTTTTTTTTTACTAATGGCTAATTTGTAGCTAAACCGAGAATTAAAATCACATCTTGATTTGTTTCAGGCTTCTCTAATTAGTTAATCAAATATTACTCTTTATATTTGGCAAAATAGTAATTAGTGAAATAATTTGAATTTTGTGGCCCATTAAAATATTTGTTGGCCTGCTCTATTGAAAAATTGTCCTTGTGGTATATCTCAGATTATTCTTTTATGAAAGGTTACGTGGAGGAAAACTTTGATGCCTCCTAAATCTCCCTTTTAGAAAAACTATACATAAGTAACAATGAATGTTTCTCAGAATAACATTATTTAAAATGGACAGAAAACTGTTTTCTGCTGGGTCTTACACGTGTTTATAACTCTATATTTGCAAATATCTTTTCGTCCACCTCTTGAACCAATTAGAAATGATTTTGTTGTTAAGAATTACGATTCCTATTTCCGTGTCTTCCCAGTATAAGAAATGTTCACTCGTAAAACTGATTTTTTCAAATCATGAAAGTAAGAGTGTTGACAGTTCATTGGTGTAGCAGCTGCATGCATTAGGAAGCAGCACGCTGTAAATCCGACGCTGAGTTCCCAACGTGGGGAACGGTGCCTCTTCCCCGGGTACCTGTTACGAATCTCACTGGTAATCTCCGGCAACACAGCCAAGTCAAAGCCGAAGGTCCAGTTTTGTGAGCTAATGTGAGTTTTTCTTTGTTTCTTTATGACAGCATTTCTCGTTCCTTTCCTTTGTTTCTTTATGACAGCATTGCCTTCCTTTCTCCACACTGGCACCACCTTACCTCGGGCTCTCTCCCACCTGCCCCTGTCTGGATGGCTGCAGCCTTCTGCCGGCTGACTGTCTCCCGCCCAGTCTCTCCCCTTTCTAGTCACTCCTCCAATCTGTCTTCTTTCTCACGTGTAAGGCTGATTCTGTGAGTCCTTCCCTAAAACTATTTTCATAGTTCTTTATTGCCTACAAAGTATTGGATACAGCGCTTCACCTGACCTGCCTGTCTGGTGTTACACCCAAAACTTCCCCTATGTCATCTCTCCATAACTAGTGCAAAAATGTATTAAAGAGCTGTGACGTACCAGCTCTTTTAAACAAGACGTAAGTTATCCCTTCTGATCATGAGTAGAGGAGAAATCTCATTCTTAATTCTGAAACTTAACGTCTTCATTTCCATCATTTTTCCTCCCACAGGTTCCATGCTGGTCCCCACTGGGTTGGCTGGTGGCCATTGTCCTGTCTACTAATAATATTTTTAGAAATATGTCTACATAGATTTTTATGTCCTCTTGGTAGCTATTAATATCCATTAAAGTCTTTGCACTAATTATTGCTAGCATTCTCTTTTTACTTTTTTCCCTTGGAAGTTAGCTTTTTTGCATATTTTACTGAAGTGTTGAGGAACAAGCATTTTGGGCTGTTATTCAGGCAAGCGCGCGTTCCCTTTTTACATACCTTCTCTTTGTACTTTGTAGGTTTCGTACTCCAGGCCGAGAGAAGTTCCTTCCTGGTAACCCCTTGCTGTGTTTATTCAGTCACCCCAGTCACGCTTGTACATCATCATTTCTCCGTGGTAGAGCACTTTTGTGTTTGTCGGTCCATTTGACCTGAACAGTCCTGTTACATGATTGCAGTCAATTTATAGACTAAGAAGCTGAAGCTTGCAGGGGTCGGTGGAGTGGCCTGTACCTCCCGACAGGGTCGTGGCTCCACAGGGTCGTGCTCCCCTCATTTCCGTCCTGTTTTTTTCTCTATTTATTGGGCAGGGCTGCAATCACTCTGTGTACTGGAATATGATTTAATGATTTTAATTAGTGCTTTGAATATATTATTTCATTTAATTTACCAGCATTTCTGGCAGTTAGGTGAGCCTGGCATTATTAATGCCATTTTACAAGTGAGGAGAGTGCAAATCAGGATGGTCAGTGACTCACTCCAGGCGATTAGAAAACAAAACAAGAGCGAGCCTTCGGCAGCCTGGCCTCCTGCCGTTTCCATGGCCCTTGCTGCCTCTGCTCCATCCTAAGGTACACTGGGACCTGAAACACATTTTTAGTGTTGGAATTCCATTGACACAATTACCTGGTTTTCTCTAAATTAAAATGTGAAATATTAAAATGAAAAAGGAACTGTTGGTTTAACTTAACATGAGCTTTCTCTGCCATGGAACCACTGGGATTAAAGGAGTGGATAGAATCCAGTGATACATTAATTGTCAGAAATTTGGTACTCAAGGGATAAATATATCAGGAGCAAGAAGGCGTCTTTTGGGGTGCGGGGCTGTTCTGTATCGCTCCTTGGCACCCCATTCCTCCTGCTCTGAGTGCTTTTCAGGCCCTTCTGAATCCCCGGAAAGAGGGAGATAGGGAGGAGAAATCTGTGTTCCTGACAGTCTCCTGGCCTTGGCTGCAGCACCCCCGCTGCACTGTGGTTTTGTTTCTCATCCCTTCCCATCGTTTAGTCAGTACAATTGATTGGCTGTAGGAACAACAGCCTTCTACAGAGCACCTTGAGTGTGTGTATTTATGTCGTTCTGCAGCAGGAATCTTTACTGACCAGCTAGAATGTAGAGAGTCTAAAATTCTTTGTGATCGCAGTGGTACTTTTCTCCAGGTTCCCCCTTCGCTGTTTGTTTCCCCTTAGCACGGACCATGATCATTGGATTATGGTTTTCTGTGTACTCTAGCTGCTGGTTCTCACTATGTTGTGTCTGAGTGTCTGCATCTGAATCAGTATTTGTGGAGGTGGGCATGGTGTTATTTATGTAAGGAGATGAAAAGTTACAAAGTTGTGTGTGTGTGTGTGTGTGTGTATATATATATATATAAAATAAAGTTAAAATCCTAATTTATGAATAATAGTACAGGGAAATTTATTATGGCATGTAAAGAAGTGGAATTGGGAGTTAAAAGGTTTGAGTTCCTCACTGCACTGCTGACTTGCTTTCTGATCTGACAAGTTCCTCACCCCTCTGAGCCTGTGTTTCCTCACTTGTCAAATGTAAAATTAAAAAGCTGTCAGGGTTGTGAGGATGTATGTAGATGATATAGATAAGAACTCTGCATATGTAAAGTGAAATTCAGATGTTAATCTATTTTAACAGTGGTTACTATATGTGAGATTTTTAAAAAAGATTTTATTTTATTTTTAGATAGAGGAAGGGAGGGAGGAAGAGAGGGAGAGAAACATCAATGTGTGATTGCCTGTCACGTGTCCCCTACTGGGGACCTGGCCTGCCAGCCAGGCCCGTGGCCTGACTGGGAATTGAACCAGCAACCCTTTGGTTCACATCGCCAGTGCTCAATCCACTCAGCCACATCAGCCAGCGCTGTATGTCAGATCTTTTAAGTAATTATTTTATTTTTCAATTACAGTCGATAAACAGTATTATGTTAGTTTCAGGTGCGTAACCTAGTGGTTACATTTATGTACCTTGTGGAGTGATCACCCCACTAGGTCTGGTACCCATTTGACACCATACATAGTTACTGCAATGTTACTGACTATATTCCCTTTACTTTATAGAAAGTTATTTCAATTTAGACCTCCTATCAACGCCGCAAAGCAGGCATATCTCCACTTTACAGATGAGGAACCAGGGATACAGAGAGTCTAAGTAACTTGCTCAGGGACTTGCCACTAGTGAGTGATTGTACCTGATTCAAGCCCTAGTTTCTTCCTTGCTGTGCTGCTCTGCTGTTAATAAAGGGTCAGTAGTAAACGTTCGAACTTTAACAATTTTCGTTATGCTACTAAGAAATGGGGAAGTGGTACACTAGGCTAGGAATGAGGGATAGCATCACTATATTCTTGTACTGTTTTTAGGTAAGTTACTTAAATGTGTTCTATTGAAATACCTTTAAAACCCTTAGCTATGTTTCTGCTAAGGTTTATCTGAAAAATGTTTTCTCATTCTGACTTAATAATAATAATAATAATAATAATAATAATAATAATTCCCCGTAATGTGATAACAGTGTTTTACAATCACTTCAGTATTTTTTTCTTTTTCGTTTTAGTCATTCCTACACTGGTCAAGATTACAGCGCACAGGGAAATGTTGGGAAGATTTCGTTAGATCAGATTGATTCGGTAAGTGTCGTCCCCTCTAAGTTTAGATCTTTTGTCAATGGAGGAGGCACAGACTTTCCTCAACCAAAGATTCTTTGTGGATGGGAGAGAATATTATTTTTTAGCTTGCCAATAATTTTTAAAGGAAATCCCATGTGCTATATACATAAGATATTTTTAAATCATAGGAACACCAAAATTAATCAGAAAATTGTATTCTGATGAAAACCAGGATATAGTTGATTACTCCAGAGGGGAATTCTTTTAACTGGTGATAGCTAAATGGTGTTTATGTCTTTCTATTTAAATACATTATACATTTAGAAAAGAAGAGATGGAAAAATACTAAATGTGTCTCTTCGATAGGGCTACCGTAACAATGTAGCACAGACTGGGTGCTTTGAACAACAAGGTTATTTTCTCCTGGTCCTGGAGGCTAGAACTAGGCATCAGCCACTGGGGTTTCTTCTGGGGCCTCGTTTCACGGGTCCTTCCACGGTGCCTGCATCCCTAGTGTCTCTTCCTCTTCTCGGAAGGTGGAGCAGGGCCCCACCCCGCCGGCCTCATTTAACTTTACCTCTTTAAAGGCTCCAGATCCAAATACAGCCACATTCTGACGTAGTGGGGATTAGGACATTAACATGATGCATTTGGGCAGGATAAAATCTATACTGCTAAGTTCAGGCTCCCATCCTCGGATTGCCACTGGATTACTGGTCAGCGCATTCCAGCTTCACTCTGTGGTTGAGCAGGAGGGTGAAGGAATAGCATGCTTGACTGTAGTCTGTAGGGTTTCTCTTTAATGCATAGTTGGATTTCCCCTTTATCCGAAAATGGAAAATAAAGGAGCCACAAATAATCTTTGTTTAGATGATTACCAAGTTATTTATAATAAATTGAAAATATACTGAGATTTTAATGCTTGGAAAGAAGAATTATAACAAGATGGGTAAGGAGAGACCATGAGTTTTTAGAGACCAGAATGAATAGGTTTTTACCTATTGGAAAACTTATTATCAACACTTGTAGTTAATATGTCTAGAGATACAATAGGATTGCCTACCTTATACAGTTGATTTGAAATCTCTAACACTTCCCCGACATATGATTGTGTTTATATTATGTGAATGTTTAGGAGTCAATTGTATTTCTAATTCTATCACATTCACAAGCAAATGTGAACTTGGTTGGATACTGTAGGAAGATACAGAAATATGATTTATTAATTCATTTAGTGAGTATGTATTAAGCCCATCAGTTAGGCACCAGCCACTGTGCTGTGGATTCAGAGGTGAATAAAATGGAAAACACCTCTACCTCCATTGACCTTGCTGGGACCGAGATCCTGTGCTAAGTGATCCAGATGGATCCTTACCTGGATCTCTACCTTACTCCTGTTTGCATGGTCTGACCCTCACTGTGGCATGCCATTTAGTCCAGCCCTTGATGTGCTCAGTTTTTTTCTAAATGTTTCCTTTCGATTTCTTTTCTAACTATAGTCTGGCTACCTTGATGACACTTTGCCCTGTAGCCTCTTTCAAGTAGAAGCTGCTTTTTTTCCTGCCACACCCTATATAAATATGGGATGTGCCTTCCTCAGTCCACGGTACCACTTCCAAACCGTTTCTCTGCCTTCCATGGTCAGAACTCCCAGCTCCTTTAAACCCTGTGATCCTGCTATACCCCCTGATAGTTCATGATCCTTGGCCTCATTCGCTGGTGGCTCTAGCACTTGGTCATGGGCTTTTGTACTAGCAGTACTCCTGTTACTGTTCTTGACCTTTGCAACGTCCACGTTGATAACTCATCCCATACCCTGGCCTTCTAATTTCTTGTCAGCTCGATATCCATGGTCATTTTCCCATCCTGTGGTGACTACACCTAGAACTTATCTTTTCATTTCCACTATTTGGATTATTGCCAAAACCTCTTTTAATTGTTCCTCCTGTCTTCATTCTTGCTTCTGTATATTCTGCTCACTACATGACAGCCAGAGTTCTCTCTGTGTATCAGACCACGTCAGTTCTCTTCATTACCCTCTATTGGGTCTGCATCACATTTAGACTAAAATCCAAACTCATGAGTATGGCCACTGAAGCCACATGTACTTACTGCGATATTGACTCCTCATTCTGACTCGCTTACCGCGCCGTGGCCACGTGGGCCTCCTCGTGCTGTCTTTAGCACACAAGCTCCTTCCTTCTCGGGGCCTCGGCATGTGTGTCCTTCGCTGGAGCAGTGTTCTTGGGTCTGTATTTGACTGCAGTCCTCCTTAAAATGTACGTCTTAGCTGCAATGCCATCTCCTCAGAGGGGCTTTTCTGGCCACGCAAGTTAAAGTACTCCTCTCCTTTTTACACTTGACCCCATTATTCTGTTTTATTTCCAGTGCTTTTGGAATCAGACATTGTCTTGTTTCACTTATGTCTGTTTATTGTCTATCTCCTCCCATGAGAATATAGCTTCTTTGACAATAGGGTATTTGCCTTCTTTGTTCATTGCTGTTGCCCAGGATTGTACACATAGTTGTATTCAACGGATATTTGATGATTGAATGAATAACAACTCATCTAAGAATCGTGCCAAAGGAAGTAGTTGTGCTGGGTCTTGATGAACGGCCGGGTTTTGGCTGGATGGCACAGGGAGTGGCAAGACTGTACCAGGCCGGGCTGGTGGGGTGAGAGCAGGGAGGAGGTACGGACCACAACTCTGCAGTAACCTGCACAACTCTGCGACCTTGGAGTAACCCAGCTGGCTGGGGCAAAGCGTGCGCGGTGTGGCGTCACAAACTGGGCCCTTCCACCCCGCCCCGTCACAAGCTTCCGCGGCGCTTGATTTACGCCTCTGTTGGGGGCCTCCTTCCTTCACTGAACTGAATAGCAGGGGAAAATTATGTTTTATTAACCTTCTTGTTGCCCAAACCATCCAATACATATTTGTTCTGTGACAAATAATTGAAGTGGTTCGCTATGGACATTGAGGGAAACTTGCATATTCATATTAGGGATGTTGAATATTCATTGATGTTTTGAATTAGAACAATAGTTAAGAAAAATGATTTTGTAATAGTATGAAGGAACAAGAACGTACACATAGAGGGCTTTTCAGTAGGGCTGCCCAGGGAGGCCAGGGACCTGACTGAAAATTAGGTTAGGGAAGGAAAAATTTGGTTGTTGCTGTGAAAGGATGAAGAAACTGCGTCACCACTAGAGGGAGCAGGAACTCGAGTGAAGTGCGACCTGCTCCTGTTTAGAGGGAAAGTTGAACTTGCTGAGGAATAGCTGAGGGGGTGAGGATTCAAGTCGCAGGAGAGGATATTTGAGCAAGTCAGAGAGAATGCATTTGAGTCCATAAATGAAACCGTTGAATTGAAAGCACACAATTATATCTTACCTTTGATGCCAAAGGAATGACCTGTACTTCTTTGTTTGAACCCTTGATTTCTTTATTACATTTATTTGAGTATTTCTTTTGAGAACCATTTCTCTTATTTTAGTTCTACTTTGTATTTGGGTTGTTTTAAAAGTTCATCTGTGATTCAGCAACTGTACTCTTGAACATTTATCCCAGGGAAATTAAATGTCATGATCACACAAAAACCTGTGCATTCATTTATTTGACAACCCAAACTGGAAATAGCCCAAATGCCCTAAAGCAAGTGAATGGTTAAACAAATTGTGGTTTCGCTATACTGTGGAATATCACTCAACAATAGAAAGGGAGTGAACTATTGATACCCACAGTAACTAAGATGAATTTTGTGGGAGTTATCCTGGGTAAAAACCTAATCCCCAAACATTACGAACTATCTGATTATATAACATACTTGAAATGACAAACTTATAGAGATAGATTAACGGTTGTTAGGGGGTGGGTGCGGGTGCAGAAGGTAGGTAGGGGCGGTTATGAAAGAGAAACATGAGGGATCCTTGTGATGAGGGAACAGTGCCGCACCTTGACTGTGGTGGTGGAGGCGGGAACCTGCATGTGACAAAATTACATAAAACTAAATAAACTACAGAAATGCACACATAAGAGAATGGAGGAAACCTAACTAAGACTAGTGCATTATGTCAATGTCAGTATCTTGGATGTGATACTATAATTTAGTTTTATAAGATATTACCTTTGGGGAAAATTGGTATATGATAATGTCTCTTTGTGTTATTTCTTACAACTACATGCAAATCTGTAATTTCTCAAAAGAGAAAGTTTAATTAAAAACTTAAAGAATTTGTCTAAATAAATTTTAATATTTTATTTAATCATCAAACCAAAATATTTATAATTTCAACATGTAATCAACATAAAAATAGTAATAAAAAAGTTTGTCTATAATCACAGTAAGACAGTAATTCTTATAATTTTTTTATCCCAATTAGACTGAATTTGCAATTTGCAAATTAGATTGAATTTGCAACAAATATTGTGACTGACTTGATAAATCTTCCATATAACCAAAACCTCTTTTTTTCTCGTAGCTTTCCACCAAATCCTTTCCACCTTGCATGCGTCAGTTACACAAAGCCTTGCGGGAAAACCACCATCTTCGTCACGGAGGCCGAATGCAGTATGGCCTCTTCCTGAAGGGCATTGGGTTGACGTTGGAGCAGGCATTGCAGTTCTGGAAGCAGGAATTTATCAGGGGAAAGATGGATCCAGACAAGGTAATAATGGAAAATGGGAGCAGTCACTGAAATTTTACTTTGGTCTGAAAACTAAATGGTATGTTTTTTGATTATGCTCCTGAAATGTACTTGACAATTCTAAAAGAACATGTTTACAATTTCTTTTAGGTGAAAACAAAACCAAGCAAAGACCCCTCATTTTTTTAATATAATAGATGCTAAATGAAAAATTGGAAGAGTTACATTAATTCTAAGGGGAAGGTTGAAACAGCAGTGTAAGGTGTGCAGCAATACCTAAATGCAGTCTTCTCCTCTGCAGGTATACTGCGAGTAGTTGTTACAAGGCCGAAATGACTTTCTGAGTTGTATTTCTGTAGGAATGTATATGTGTATGTAGTATACAAATATATGTGTGCATACATGCCAGTGAGTCAGCTCCGACTCCTGGCAATCCTGTGCCTGAGTAATGTCCACAAGGTCCTGTCCTCAGTGGCCCTGCTCAGCCCCTGTAGATTCATGCTTATGGCTTCTGTCATGGAATCAATCCATTTCATGTACGGTCTTCCTATTTTCCTGCTGCCTTCTATTTTTCCCCAGTGTTATTGTTTTTTCCAGAATAAACCTGCCTTCCTATGACATGCCAGAAGTTGGACAACCTCAGTTCTGTCATTTTTGCCTCTAGCGATTGTTTCAGGCTTAATTTGCCCTTGAGCCCACTTGTTCATCTTTCTGGCCATCAGGTAGCCACAGAGTTCTCCTCCCACAGTGTATTTCAAATGAATCAGTCTTTCTCCTGTTAGCTGTCTTCACTGTCCAACTTTCACATCTGTACAAAGTAACTGGGAATACTGGCTGTGACTGGATCTTAACTTTGACCTCTAATGACACATCTTTGCCCTTGGTGATCTTTTTTAATTCTTCCATTGCTGCTTCAATTTCTTGGCTGCAATCTCCGTTTGAATTGATGACTAAACTAAAGCAAACAAAATCTTCAACAATTTTGACATCTCCATTGTCTGTGTTAAAGTCGTGTACTTCTATAAAGCTCTGTATCTTGATGTTCAAATGCAGTCTTGCTTTGGCACTGCTTTCACTTTCATCAGAAGTATTTTCAAATTATTGCTGCTTTCTGCAAGTATGATGGTATCATCTGCATATCTTAAGTTATTGGCATTTCTTATATCAGAATTTACTCTTCTTCCATTATGATATGTTCTATGTACAGCAAATAAGGAGATAAGTGTATATTATACCCTTGTCTGACACCTTTGTCTGTAGGAAACCATCCTGTCTCTCCCTATTCTGTCCTGACAGTGGGTTCCTGTCCACAATACAGGCCACTCATCAGGACAGTCAAGGGCTGAGGCACACCCATTTCTCTCGGACAACCCATGGCTTTTTAGGATCCCTGCAAAGGCTTTACTGTATGTGGTCTGTAAAACATAGAGTAACTCTCTTCTGAAATTGTACGGGGCGCTCCAGTATTGAGTGAATGTTTGCAATTAGATACTGCCTGTTTCTTTCTTGTTTGAATTGAGTTTGAACATCTGGCATTTCTTGCTCCATGGAAGGTAGGACCCTTTGTTAGGTCACCTTGAGCTTCACTTTACTCGTGTGGGAAATCGGAGCAATGGTCCTGTTCTCCTTGGTATCTCCTTTCTTGAAGATCAGGCTGTGTATTGACCATATCCAGTCTGTAGCTTCATTGTTTTGCTTTCCATATTTCTAGACATGTTTTTGTAAGGATTATGACAGATTCAGTCTCTGCAACCTGAAATACTTTTATTTACCAAGGTGACTTATTTCTTCCCGATACTTTCAGGGCAGCTTTCACTTCATTTTCTAGTATTATAGATTCTTTTCCCTAGGCATGTTCTTCAAAGGTATCTGTCCTCCTTTTGTCTCTTCTTGTATGTATTTTCGGTACATTGTTTCTACCTGCTTTTTATTTTTTCCTGGTTAGATAATGCGCTTCCTTGTTGGCTTGAATTTCCCTTTGATTTCTTGAATCTTTTAGTAGCAGTCTCTGTTTTTCCTTTGTAATTGTCCTCTTCTATCTCCTCATATTGCCACTGTAATAATTCCGCTCGTTTTTACATGACACCTGTTGAGAAGCGAGTTCAGGATCCTAACCCTGCTTTTGTCACCTTTTGCATTTGCCTCTTATTCGCCACTAACAATTTTTAGCATTTCTTCTGTCACCCATCTCGAATTTATCTTTTGTTTTTACTTCTGACATTTTTTTCACATTCTTCCATGGTAATATTTCTAAGCTTAGTTCTTCTGGTTCTTGGCCTATTAAATGTAACAGTGCAGTCTGTTTTTTACGTGGGCTTCAAATCCAGCAGCAGTGTTTTTTACATTATATTTTGACACTACAATTCCTTTAGTGCTTTCTTCAGCTTTAGTCTAATGTTTGTTTTAACAGTTCATGGTCAGCACCACAATCTGCTCCTGGTCTTGTTTGGCAGAGAGAATACAGCTTCTGTTTGATCTCTGTGCTGGCCATCTGGCGCTCTCCGTGTACACAGTTGTCTGTTCACTTGTCTGAAGCATGCATTTGTGATTGACAAGTTGATATCTTAGCACAAATCTATGAGCCAATCTCCTCTATTTCTGACCCTTAGTTCAAGTTTTTTGTTGACAGTTGATTCTGCCTTATTTCCTACTTTTGTTTCTATATTTATCAGCATTGTCAGCTTCTTCTTGCATACTTGTCCAGAAGTTTTCATTTTTCTCTTCTCCAGTTTCTGCAATGGAATATAGATTTGAATGATGATTATATTAATAGGTTTTCCTAGAAGTCTGATTACATATATGCACATATAATGTCATTTTCAGGACTAGGAGATATTAACAAAGTGAAAACAATTTAAAATGTTTTCTATTGTGTTATACTGAATTATGTTATGAAGCATTTTTAGGTAGATATTGAAAGAAACTGTTTTTAAATTTATCTATGATACTCAGGTTCCCAATCCTATTCTTTATTTAATCGTACTAGCTAATGACATTTTATTTTGAAAATATGGTTTCTTACCTCTTTTAAAGCCATGGTACTTATGCTACGAAGTAAATTTTTTACTGCTGTATTTCTTGGATTCTTCTTCCTAGTAAAGATAAATTATAAAACCAAAGATATTTACCAAGTACATTTTTCTCTTTTTAAAAATATTTTATTTATTTCTTTTTTACTTTTTTAAATTACATTTTATTGCTCATGCTATTATATTTGTCCTGATTTTTACCCCTTTGCTACCCTCCATCCAGCACCTGTAACTCTTTCGTGTAATTCTCCTACCCTTGTCCATGTCCACAGGTAATACGTGTAAGTTCTTTGGCTACTCCATTTCTTATCCTGTACTTAACATTTCCTGTACTGTAACTGCCCATTTGTACTTCTTAATCCCCTTACCTCTCACCCATTTTCCTACACTCCTTCTCATCTCTTTTAACCTTTGGCCTTTTAATTAGGATGCATCTTGCAGTGGGCCTCTTTGTGTCCATCTTGTTTGGGACTCTGTGCTTCCTGGACTTGCATATCTCTTTCCCTCACCAGATCAGAGAAATTTCTTTCATTATTTTTTTAATAGATTTCCAATTTCTTGCTCTTTCTCTTCTCCTTCTAGCACCCTTATGATGCAAATGTTGTATTGCTTAAAGTTGTCCCATAGGCTGCTTACACTACCCTCATTTTTTAAAATTCTCTTTTCTTCTTCTTTTCTGATTGGTTGTTTTTTGCTTCCTTCTGTTCCAAATCATTTGATTTGATTCCTGGCTTCATCTGCTCTACTGTTGTTTCCCTGTAAATTGTTCTTTATTTCAACTAGTGTATCTTTCATTTCTGATTTGGTCTTTTTTTGTGCTGTTGAGGTCCTCACTAGGTTCCTTGAACACGCTTATATTAACTCAACATCTGACAGATTGCTTATCTCCATTTCATTTAGCTCTTTTCTTGGAGTTTTGATCTGTCCTTTCATTTGGACCATGTTTCTTTTTCTCCTTATTTTGACAACCTCCCTGTGTTTGTTTCTATGTATTAGGTACAGGTGCTATTACTCCCTGTCTTCGTAGTGTGGCCTAATATAGTAGGTGTACTGTAGGGTCCAGTGGCACAGACTCGCCTATCACCCAAGCCAGGTACTTGAGGTGTACCCTTCATGTGAGCTGAGTACACCCTTTTCTTGTAGTTGAGCCTTGGTTGCTGTTGGCAGATCAATGGGAGGGATTTACCCAAGCCAGTCAGCTGGCTGTGGTACTCTGACGTGGTCTGTAGCTATCCAATGGGTATGCTGGCCCTGGAGTTTCCCAGGTGATGCAGGCCAAGGTCAGCCCCCTCCTGTGTTATGCCCAGAGCCACCCTGCATGAGCTATAAAGCAATCTGAGATGGCTGCTACTTGTGCTGGGCTTGGAGATTCCCAGGCAAAGCCAGTCTGTGCATCTAGGCTGCTAGCTTCTGGCTGCGGTTACTGAAGCCAGCTACTTGTTTTAGAGGATTTAGGAAGTTGTAAGGAATGATCCAAGACCAACCATTCACACAGAAAAGCAGCTTGAGTGGGCCCATAAGTTGGGTTGGGTGGAGTCTCTGGGGGTCTTCAAGGCTGGTAAAAACAGTGTTAGCCACACTGATGGAGTCTCAGATAGGCACCAGTCTGCGGGCTCTGTGGGGGGAGGGCCCAGAAAGGGACACTGGCCTCTGTTAACCTTGATGGCAAACACTACAGTTTTTCCCTGTATACTACCAGTGCCTTTCAAGCAGCTCTCCTGGTGCTGGAGCTCCGAGGGGAGTGAGTGAGTAGGTGAGTCCGTGTGCGGGTTCTTCGGGAGAAACTACTTGGGGCTCCAGCAGTTTCTTCCACCAATTCAATCCCCGCTGGTTTTTGCAGCCAGACGTTGTGGGGACTCATCTTCCTGGCATTGGAACCCTGGGTGGGGGGCCTGGTGTGGGGCTGGGACTCCTTGCTTCCAAGATATCCCTCCTGAATTTTTATCCACCACCCATGGATGTGGGACCAGCCAGCCCATTCTGCATCTGTGC